TTTCTCGGCAGAAGGCTCACACTGGCTGTCGGGTTGTCGCGCTGCGTGTTGCCAAACGTTGACTGTAAATTAACCTTGGTGGTTTTTTATATTAAACGTTTGCGTTGGACGACGCAACTGTAAGTGCGTTTGTGTTCGACTATTTGTGTTTCTGTACAGCTGCGGCTCACTCTCAAAGGGCCTTCTCGACCTGGCAGAATAAAGCCCTTCATTCACCCCGTGCGCCCACCGCTACGTTCAATATCCAGTGCACCTGCCCGGCGCACAAGCAGCCGTTCAGCAGTTGGAGTGCGGGTTTATATATATTATATTTATATATACCACGCATAGTTGTGCTTACACATTTACTCGGTGGTAAAAAATGCAATAGCTGCTAATATGTACACAAATAAAACTTTTAAGGTTTACTACATAAATAAACTATGTTTGCTTAAAATAACAATAACACGGAGCTAACATTTCATTTTGTGTTTTACACACACACAATGGATGACACTATACACGGTATACACTGTAGGATGTGTTATGTATATATGTGGCTGGAGCGGTGGCGCGGTGGTTAGCGCTCTGCTGAACTTCTTTCGCACCGTACGTAGCCAGCCGTGCTAATCGGAGGTGTAATGAAACCCGCCGTTCTGAGTTCGATTGCCGGCGATGGCTAACATCAGCGGTCGAGTGAAATCTGAACCTGCTATGACCAACGTGGTGAAGTATGGTCAAACCATAGCGCCCCCCCCTCCCATTTCCGGCCCGGGGTGGAGAGGCATTCTGCTCCCCAGCAGTAGATAGACAAATGTGTGTAAATTATTATTATTGCTGCTGAAATAGACATAAAGCATTGTAAACTGACACCCATATGACATAATTATGTTACTGTTAACGAATCAATTGTATTATTGTTTTTATGACAGTGTCATTCTCGCGACAACAGCGGCTCACACAATAAACACACCACAGAAACAATGGCAGTACATCCGAGTGAGTTGTAACGGCAGGAGAAGTATCCATGAAAGAGGAGTTGCAGTGCCGCTATAATTCGTAAATTAGGCCTGTTATTAGAAACAAATGTGACCTCAAGTGGAGCGATCAATGTGAATTTGTAGCCTCTGTGCTTAGTTTGATATCGCGACATTCAAACGAAGCGGGGGGCGGTGTGGGGGAGATCCACAGTGGCGACGTTTCACAACAGTGCCTTGTTTTTGTTCGACAGCTGTCCGTGTTCAGCGGCGATGTGGAAGTGTTTTGTTGTTGTTGATAGTCGCGTTGGCGGCCGTGACCAAGCCACAATAGGTCTTGAAAGACCTCTCAGCTATGGAGTCATGGCTCATGGCACGGAACGTGGTTTAATTTGTGTGTTTCACACCTTTCAGGGGTCCGCGTTATTGACGGATTGTGCTGGGATTTTATTTTATTTCAAGAGCCGCTGTGCTTTCGGGAATTTGTGCGCTCATAACTATGCAAAGGCTAACGTTTGGTCCGCACCTGAATTGCACTATATTATACATAATATTATTTGTTTATATGATCACTAGGTACAACAAAAACCCTCATCGTATTAAATGTTCCAATATTGACATGGACACATTTGGTGTGACACTGCGTTGAATACGCACAGGTAACATAAGCTCAACACATTCATAATCAAAAACACAATCCCACGAATGTAATAGCCGCCGACGCTTCGGGAATGTTCCTTCTTCATAGCAGTGATACACTATAATTGTGCGTGTCCCCTTATTAAAGGGTGCGTTCACACTTTCTCAAATGTAACATTCGTCTTATATTTACCATATCAGTACAGGCGTATGATGTGTGTATCTGTGTGCGTGTATATATCTAAGCCGAAGTGATTTATAAACTTACGTTTGAGTTAACTTTATTGCCCAATATAATCTATACTCCAAGTCAAAATACCGATGACTGCATCACTATACTAAACATTTAAATAAAGCTAAATTAACCGTGTCGAGTTTGTACATATTAACATTACCAATCATTGTGTAAATCGACAATACTACACTACAACCATAAAACAGTTTATATCACTGAAATAATATATATCGACGTTTCAGTCGACCAACCTTCTTCAGTAGCTTAATAATGTAATAACATTATTCTATTTCATTGGGGAGCTACGTAATACTGTTTTTAGTAACAATTAATTATTGTACATATACATGTAACATTCATACGACAGACAGCACATTTCTGAACGCGTTTCGCTCTGTAGCTATGCGCAGCGCCAGTGTGTCTGTATATATATTGTGTATGTATACACACACACACACGACTTATACAATGTGCTCTTCTCCAACTTCGTATAACCTTGCTCACAATTAATCAACTCAATTACTGTTATCGATATACAGCTTTAGACAGCGCTGTTAGTTGCTGGCCGCTCTGGCCTGTTTGGGTCCGCCCTTGTGCTCAACAACGGGGATAGCAAACAAGCATCAAAGCCCAGTGCTGCGTGTATCCGCGTGCGTGCGTGCAGCGAGTACGAGACGCGCTGTACGCACGCACTCACCGTGTGCCGAGTGCGTGCAGCACAGATGGCGTTCGTGACTAATGACAGCCCCACCACCACCGCCACCACTCTCTTCGTCTCAGGAACGACGATCCCTCGCCTGGGATGCTCGTGAATGTAACGACGTTTGGAGAGGTTGGGGAGGGGGGGCTGACGGTAACAGGGAGGGGCTGGTTGTTTGGATGGGGGGGGGGGGGCTGTCCTAGAGATATGCACTTTTAAAATCATACAGATTGATAACTAACTTCTTTAGAACTGCTTTTCGTGTGTGGTTTATTGTCCTTGCCCCGCGCCCCCGATTAGCACGATTGGCAACGCACGGCGCGAACGAAGTGCATCAGACATACTTACATGGCCCCAGTCTGGAGCTCAGGAAAGCAAAGCTGCTATACTACCGGATACATCTGTAAGCGAAAAATCGGAGGGAAAAAATCCACCCCCCACCGTTTCCTGTAGATACTATTGAGCCCCTACATATACTGGTGTTGTTAGCGTCTGTCTCATTGTACGCGTAAGTGTGTATGTATGTGAGTGGTGGCGTTTAAATATTATGGGGGGGGGGGGGGCGGTAGTGTAGCGGTTAGCGCGCTGCGCTACGAACGGTGACCCGAGCTCGATTCTCGCTCACGGCCGACACCAGTGAGAATTATCTGAACCCGTCCTGGGCCTCCCTTAGGTCTGCTCAGCCTCAAATGAGCACCTGGTACAGTGTGTAAACATCGCCACTGGGGAGACAAAGGCGGAAGTGCGTAGTGCTGGCGTGTGCTGCTCTGGCCTTCATAAGTGCTCGCTAACAACACTTGCCCCAACAGTCTGTTAAGACTATATGGGGTATCTTAGTATATTTCAAGTGGTGTGATAAATTCACGCGCTTCACCAACTCGCCACTGACCAGTCATGGTGAAGTACAAAATAACCTGCACGAACTACGCAATGCGTGGGTAGAGGGCTCTTATCCGGCAGTGGATTTGCCAGAAGGGCTATCGCACGGTGCCTATGCGTGCGAGAGCGTGAGTAGAGGCACCTCCGATTAGCACGATTGGCTACGTACGGTGCGAAAGAAGTTCAACGTACATACGTGTCGGGCGTGGTGCTGGCCACCCACCCGCTCGTGTGCCTTTCTGGCCTTCAAAGGTCATCGCAGACGGTACTTGCCCCAACAATTTGTGAAGGCTATACGGGTGGATGTTTGTCTTGAGGCAATGTCATCGGTTCCATTAAAGGTGTGCGCCCTTCGCCTTCCTAAGTGCCCGTGAAGCCATGGGGGCGTGATGTCTACAGCGGCCAGCCCCCACGCCCCTCTTGGGAGGGCTTGACGATACTTCACCACACAGCGGTCTCGTTCCGAGTGGACCTGCGGCTCGCTCGTCACTCACTGATGTTAGCCGTGGCCGGGAATCGAACCGAGGTTTAATAAACAAACGAAAAAACACACACGCACAGACACACACGATATTATCCTACACATTTGCAACTATATGGCCCGTACGTAGTGATGAGAACAGTGTTATAGTATTTCCTTTAGGCCACATATAATGAATATGCAAACATCGGTAATAGTATATACTGTATACTCTGCAAGCTGTATATGAGGCTACAATATGTTTTCGAAGAGGGACTTAAATAATAATATAACATTTGATTAAGTGTACATTTTTTTTACGAATTAGTAAATTGCATTCGTATAAGTTGTACTATTACGCAAATAAAAAAATCTGAATGTAAATATGAATCAATGCGCGCGTGTTGTATTGCACCGCACCACGAACGACACAACGAAATCCTCACCCGACACTTTTTAAAAGAGGAAAAATGTTAATATTAAGCAAACATTCATAAAAAATAATAATACAAAAATCTCTCGAATCCGTTTATAAATATTTAAGTGCGCATTTATTAACGATATTTTTTGGTGTAAAAAAGTAATGCGTTATGACTTTAATATCGGGAAAGCCTTTTAACACGTGGATTAATATTCACAAGAATGTTGCGGGCATAAACAAAAATCTATCCCCCCCCCAAATCAGAGAAATCGCTACCTGCAACCCGGAACGGTGGCGCGCTCTAACCACAGCACCGGCATCATCATCATCATCAGCAGCGGCATCATCATCAGCAGCAGCAGCATCATCAGCATCAGCAGCAGGCGCTGAGCCGGGTGAATGTTGGCAGTCATCATCAAGCCGCGTGTCTCGCACTCGCCTCTGCGCGGCCGAAAAGCGAACGGCGCGCGCGCCGAGCCAATGGAAGGGGCCGTGGTCGTTGTTTGTCAGCCCCCCGCGTCACTGCCCACGACGCCGCCGCCGCTGCCGCTTCGGTGGTGCCGCCCGCCCGCCCCCTCGGGCGTCTCGCGGCGGGGCGGGGGGCGGGGTGCGCACTCGGCGCTGCCCGCGCCGCCGCATTGGCCGGGGCGGAGCGGGCGGGGAGGAGCCGCGTGGGGGCCGTGCGCGGGGGGCCGCTGGGACTGCCCCCCGTGAAATGACCGACGCCGCGCACCAACAAACGCGAAGCGTTCGCGACTGCGGGCCGGCGTGCGCAGTTTGGTGCTGCTGCTGCTGGTGGTGGTGGCGGCTCTGTGCTTGGCGGCTCTGTGCTTGGTGGCTTCGCTCTCGCTGTTGTCGCCGCTGCTGCTGCCGCTGCTGTTACCGCGACCACTACGAGTGGCCGGCTTCTGCAGCAGTGCGTCCAGGAGCTCTCTAGCGCAGTCTGAGCTGAGCTCTCCAGCGAGACGGAGTGATTGTAGCAGAGAGAGACAGAGAGAACAGAGCAGTGAGGCGAGCGAGAGAGCGCGCGGAGCAAAGCCACCAACTTCCACCGCGGCGCCTCCAGCGATGTCTGCGATGCAGGCCCGCTACCCGGTGTCGAACGCGAACGCGCTCGGAGTGATGTCTCCCTACCTGAGCGAGCAGAACTTCTACCGCTCGGCGGGCGGCTACGGCGGCCTTCCCGCGGCTCCGGTCGGGATGTACTCGGCGGCCAACGCGGACCCTTACTCGGCGGGGCTGTCCCGACACTACGGGCCATACTCGCACCCGCACCAGGCGCCCAAGGACCTGGTGAAGCCCCCGTACAGCTACATCGCTCTCATCACCATGGCCATCCAGAGCGCGCCCGACAAGAAGGTGACCCTCAACGGCATCTACCAGTTCATCATGGACAAGTTCCCGTTCTACCGCGAGAACAAGCAGGGCTGGCAGAACTCGATCCGGCACAACCTCAGCCTCAACGAATGCTTCGTCAAGGTTCCCCGCGACGACAAGAAGCCCGGCAAGGGCAGCTACTGGTCGCTGGACCCGGACTCGTACAACATGTTCGAGAACGGCAGCTTCCTGCGGCGCAGGAGGCGCTTCAAGAAGAAGGACGTGCATCGCGACAAGGATGTGCAGCAGCAGCAGCAGGGCGGCAAGGAGCAGGGCGAAGAGTCCACCAAGAAGGAGCACGGCAGCCAGCAGCAGCAGCATCAGCAGCAGCTGCTGTGCTCCGAGGGCAGCGGCAGCGAGGGCAGTCGCGCCCTGAGCTCTCCTCCTCCTCACTCGCGCGGCTCCCCCGCGGCCATCCTCGTGGTGCCCAAGATCGAGAGCCCCGACAGCAGCAACGTGGCGCAGGACAGCCCCCGCAGCGTCACCTCCAACCGCTCGGGGTCCATGGAGAGCGGCCTCACCGACTCGTCGGCGCACGGAGTCGGGGGAGGCTCGGGGGGAGCAGGCGGCGGTGGTGGTGGTGGAGGGGTGGTTGGCGGCTTCGGCGTGGTGGACAGCCCGCCCAGCACGGCCATGCTGCGCGCGGGCGGCCTGCACGGCATCAACGGCGGTGAGCTGGGCCACGCTCTCGTGTCTCCTCCCAGGCCGCTCATGCTGCCGCTCATGTCTCTGCACTACGCGCAGCCCCAGCAGGCGTCCGTGTACAGCCCGTGCGGACAGGGCGCCGAGGCAGGCGGCGGAGCGGGAGGGGTAGGGGGAGGAGGGCAGCCCTACCACTGCAGCCTGCAGACCATGAGCCTGCAATACGCCGCTGGGGAGCGGGCCGAGCAGGGGCCCTCCTCGGCGTCCGTGTCGCTGCACGAGGACACGTCGCCGTCGCCCGACCACGCCATCACGTCCACCGTGCCGCACCTGGGCGCGCTCAACCTCAGCTCCAGCCAGCATCACCAGCAGCATCAACAGCAGCAGCAGCATCATCACCAGCAGCAGCAGCAGCACCAGCAGCACCACCAGGATGGCATCCTGAGCGCGCTCCAGGCGTCTCACCACAGCGCCCAAGACCAAGGCGGCGTCGCGCGGCTCCCGTCCTGGTACATGGGACAAGATTCTGGCCACGGTGCCAGCGGTGCTGGTAGCTTCGTCACTCAGCAGCAGCAGCAGCATTTCGGCTCGCGTGACATGTTCGACCCGCCACCACGGCTGGGCCTCATGGAGGGTCTGGCTGCGAGCGCCGCCGCGGCGCAGGTGAGCGCGTCCAGCAGCTGTCAGATGTCCTTCCGATCGGCCACTCTGTACCGCTCGGGCACGTACCCCGCCGCGTACGACTGCAGTAAGTACTAGCGCCACGACGCGCCACAGATCCTATGCGTGTAGTATTTTTTTTTATTTTAATGCGACCCGTGCGTATACGTTATATAATTGTGCGTAAACGTAAGAGAGAGAGAGCGCGAGTTGGCACAACTCATTATTAGTCCCCGTCTCCCCCAACCCGAATTCGAATCCTGACCAAGGGTCGATTGACTGACGTGAGCCCCGTGATCTGTTCGCTACTTTTGGGCGAGCCCGCGGCCCGCCGAGATGCCACCGCTGGAATGAAAAGTCAACAACAATACATTTGTGGTCTTGTGTGCACGCGTCCATTGAGGAGACATTGGGCCCCCGGCCACAGTAATGTGGAGGTTACCACCGCAACGTAAAGAACACCAAGGCGCAGATGAGAATTTTTCTAAGGCAGAATTGCAACACCCTGGTAATTGTTTTGGGTGGGGACACGAGCGGGCTGATGCTTCGCCGTGAAGTTGAAACTGGCTCAATAATGCCCCGGGCTGGAGAGGGCAAAGCGACGGGATGGGAGAAGCAGTTTCCGACTCTGATGTCCATAGCGCGCACGTGCAGGCCGAGGAACGAAGCGGGGTGGGGGGGGTCAATGGGCAATTAATTAAGAGACCTCGAAACGAACGTGGATGTTGGTCTCTGGGTGCTGGAGAACCAAGTCCGCCCACCATCGCTGACCGTCCTCGACATTGCCTCGAGAAAAGTGGCTGAGAAAGAGAGAGGTGACTCCAACTACAACAACAACAAAGGCAACAGCGGTGTGAGATGCCGCGTATTTACTTTGTGCATTCACAGGCACACGTGGATGTGGCTTCGCCGCGTTAACAAATATTCCTTGAGCAGCGTTTTAATCGTATTCCTCCACACCCCCCACACCCCCACCCAGTAACCCCCTCCCTGCAATCGGAAATGTAAACAAACAACTACTCATCATGGATTTGGTCAACAATGTACTTGGCTAAGTTAGCTTTTCGCTATCGCGTATACAATATACAACCGCACGTGTACTTTTATTGAGAATAATATTACTAATGAATAATATCAATAGATTATGAAAAAAGGGGTCGATAATTGCATCTTGGAAATGCACCGGTGTTGTTCTATTGCAATATCTAGCGACGTAACGGACTGTATGGAAACAACAACAGCAACAACAATTATTACCTTGCATTCTTTTCCACCGGACTTTGCGCTATAAACCAAAATGTTACCACCTAATTTATTATTTATAAAACTTTTATCATGTAGAGTTAAAACAAACAAAACAATGCTAATTTTTTTTCGCTACAGATATAACATTGCATTTCTAACTATATGAATCAGAGACTAATTTATTGAATAATTGTTTTCGTGGCACAATCATCACTTTGATAAACTATATTATGTTCAATGGACAAATAGTACATGCAGCATCAACTTCGTTTCCCTTGTATATGCGTGAACACACACATATATATAGCCATATATTGTAGATCTTTGCGATGTTGTTATCTTGTAAATAAATAGTTTTACTGTGCCAATACAAAATGTTTGCGGGATTTTTTTTCTATTACTCGTGTGCAGTGAATAGATGGAGAAATTGGCTCCAAATATTGGGTTTCCAATATTCCTTTCAGTCATCGTGTGCACGTACAAATGTGGGCGATTCCGCGGTAACGGAATTACAAGGCCAACGCAGTGATTTTAGCCACGCCGATGAAATGGATAAAATAAATATATATATAACGACATCTCCAACTATTGGGATTAACCCGTCTCGTGAGAACTTTTAGAAACTATATAAAAGTCTCTCCCAAAAATGCTCGCGTTAAATTTGTATGATTCTGTCCCATGGGTGTAATTCCGTTTCCGCGCATATATATACATTACGGACATACAACGTCCACAGCACCATCGCGCGCGGGACCAATCACCGCACTCTGTGCCGCATGCAACAGACACAGATCCCCCGTATAGAATTCAAAAGACTGTTGGGGCAAGGGCTCTTCGTGAGTAGCACCGACCAAGGTCGGGCCGGCACACGCTGGGTGTGGGTGGCCGCGCTGTCGACCCAGGGCTGGTGTTGAGCCACTGCGCGCCAGACACTCCTTTTAGAGGCTGCGTCGACCTCGGGGAGGCCCAGGACCGGTTCGGATGTTCGTCACTGACATTGTTCGTGAGCGGAAAATCGAAGTGGGATTCTCCTGGTTCGTATCTCAGTGCGCTAACTGCTACGCCACCGCTCCCTGGAGTCACAGGGTGTGTGGGTGTGTGAGTGTGTGTGTGAGTGTGTGTGGGTGTGTGAGTGAGTGTGTGTGTGAGTGTGTGTGGGTGTGGGAGTGAGTGTGTGTGTGAGTGTGTGTGGGTGGTGTAGCAGTCAGCGCGCTGCACTACAAACCTGGCGACCCGGTTTCGATTCCCGCTCACGGCAAACACCAGTGACGATTATTTGAACCGGTCCTGGGCCTCCCCTAGGTCGGCTTCAGCCTCAAATGAGTACTTGGTGCGGTGTGTAAACATCGTCGCTAGGGAGACAACGGCGGTCGGGCGTGGTGCTGGCCACCCACCCCTCGTGTACCGTTCCGGCCTTCATAGGTGCTCGCTAACAGCACTTGCCCCTACAGTTTGTTAAGACTATATGGGGGATCTTTGTTATCTTTGTGTGAATGTGTGTGGGTGTGAGTGAGTGTGTGAGTGCCGCATGCGTGTAAGCACGCACGCCGTGACACTCCACCAAGGTGATGCAAGATTATCTCGGGTTTACGTCTCCGTTTAACTTGACACGAAGGCGGGGACGGGGGTCGTCGTGCCATCGAGATGCCTGTCCCAAGTTCTTCTACACTCGACACGACACTCGACGTCTCCACGCACGAGGCCGCTGCTGCTGCTGCTATTGTCGCCGTAAACACGCGCTCGGCGGCCCCCTGGGGTCCGTCCTCGAGTTGAGGCGGCAAATGAATTCGCTCCCTGCACGGCTCAGGGAATTTGGCCCACATTGTAGAAACAACATCGTCCTTGACGCGTGCCCCTATAGCTGTGTAGGCTCAGGTCGCGCAGACAAAGTTATAGAGGGGCAAGAGAGGGGTCTTTATGGGCGGCGGTGCTCGTAGGGGTGTGAGTGACGCGCAGTCACAAACATGTCAAAACAAATCTCTCCGCACAATGCGACCGAGCGGCGCTATGCACGCAATACCCAACGGCTATTAGCGCTCTTGGAGAATGGCACGGTCACCTTTTCTCCCTCGGTTGCTGGACAAATGAATGCGCAATTAAAGCGGCTTCCGCCCAATAAAAGGAAAGGTTCGCGTGGAGGAGAAACCTCTTCCTGGCAGGTCTGTTGAAGTCACGGACAAATAACTCACGCTTGTTAACAATTGACACATTAAATGCATCGACGGCATTCTTAAGTTCAAGCTCGTGACTTTAACGCACACTTGTGGCGATGCGTATATGCGGTGCGATGTAGGCGATTGGCGTGTGTAGATGATGGTGCGCACATATTGGCATGGGCCGTTCGATAATAATAATTATTTTTGATGTCTCATACTCTACGTGCGTACACGCATTACACAGCGCGCCGACATGGGCGGACGATATATTCCGTCTTTATTGTTGACGTGTACATCATCGAGCGGAGTAAAGATGAATTGCTATCAGGGGGTCCATTATATATTGCGACATTGTCAGAGTTTAGTTTCATGAGCGTTATCAGTGCATGTTTATGTGGCAGGTAATATGCACCGATTGCAAACTTTGAATATTTTTTAAAGTCTACATTGGTTCGTTGCTAATTGCACGTGAGAGACAGAAAGAGGGACACGTGAATCAGAGAAGAAGACGCACATTCGTTGAGAGACTATCTTTAACTGCGAAGAAAGGTGGGTGGGCTTGAACCAGGAGCCACACCACTAAGAAGAATGATATCGCGTGGACGAGGCTGGTTACGGAATGGCAACCAAAGGATGATGATGATGATCCCACCAGAGATGATCACGCCAGAGATGACGATTACCGCCGAGACGGAGTGAAGAGTCCACCACGGTGGTGCCTCTTGAGCAGATGGAGTTTTAGATTTGAAGCTTTCTTGACTGCAAGGATTCATAGTCTTAGTTCTTTCGGTTAAGTCGCGTAGGTAAAAAATGAAATAAAAATTAATAAAAATAAAAAAGTGAAGCTTCCGTCTTCACTTGATACAGATATTTTGCTGTGACAGTTTCACCTGAAGACCGAAGCTTGTGTTGCCTCCGAAACGTCGTGATTTTATTGTTTTTATTTTTATTAATTTTGATTACATTTTTTACCTACGTGACTTTACCGAAAGAACTAAGAGTACAGATGGAGTTTGGCATTGACTTGGGGAAGCCTTCATCCAGCAGTGGATAAAACATGACTGCTGGCGATCTAGTTGGAATGGGGATGGGGTCTACCTCCAAATGTTCCTTTCTCTCTCACTCCATCTAGACGGAGCCTCAATATAAACGCATTTACAACAATGATTACGTACATTCCCCGAATACTTTAATCGTCGAATATATACACATACGTTTAAGTGAACAAATAAACACGAGACGCACCGAGGGGCCTTCACTACACACATAATATATATACATTTATATATTTATTTACATGCTTTTTTCTTATTTTGTACCAAAGAGAACTATGGAGGGAGGGCTCGCTGGCGTGCGGCTTCGTGTTCTCACAAGAGGCCCCAGTATTCACTGCAATTCCCAGGACTGCGTGTACCCAACTTTATACACACAGTGCGCACTTTGTGCTGAACTTTAATTGCTGTGCTATATACACGCAATTACGCATCTAATATGCGGTATATATGTGTACACTCACGTACATTACGGAGTACATTGCCTGCTTCTGTTAGCCGAGGAATTCATTTTTCATTTAGAAACTCAATTTCCCAGCTACTTGTATTTAAACAAACAGGGGTTTAATTTATATTGATTTCTTACGCGGATTATTCCGTTTTCCAGTTGTTGCAAGGGAGATCCGTGGTGTCGAACGTACATATATAAATTACAACCTTCTTGTAGGTTTGGTTTGTACCTGAGGATATATCTGTTGCGGGCATGCAGTGGATTCTAATTAGAAAGCGTACGTTTAGAAAGATGCGCACGTTCGTGGATGGCATCACACTTTTTTTAAACGCCATTTGATGCTCAAACCTTCAGTCCGTGAATCTCAACACTTGTGTTTGTAATTTCTAGCGTAAGCTTCTGGAGTTGTGACGAATTAATTTGAGAAGCCACCCAAAGGCACACACACACACCGCGACCCAGTTGAAAATGTTTTGTTTTAAAACTTAGAATGCCAGTACAGTGCAGCACGGTGCTTCAGCATCAGCCGGAAAAAACAAAGTTTGGATCGCTGTTTCGGTCAATTATTTCTTCTCGCCATATTTTGTCCTAATTTTGTTGTTATATAAACCTGCACATATGATTATAGGACTATAGGGTGCAATAATATATCATTATTATTTGTTCTGGACACGGTATAAATTGTACTGTCGTGGTAGAACCTCTTGCCGCTAATCCCAAACTCCAAGCCCAGGCGAACAGAGTCGCAGCACATTTGGAGCGATACATTAATCCCGGCTGAGCAGGAAACTAATACATACTGTTTATTTATTCTGTAATTTTAATGTTTGATATTCAACGGCGTCATTCAGTATTTGTGGACTTAAGCGCGGCTGATGAACTCAAAGGACGCACACCGTCTCCGACTTTATCGATCCGCAGTGTGCCGTTGTACAGCGTCTGCTTGCGCGTTTGCAACTAAGATTGCTGTGTCCACGAAACCCCTTTAACAGACTCTTGGGGCAAGGACTGTGAGCGAGAGCTTATTAAGACCGACACGGCATACAAGGTGGTGGATGACCAACACCACGCCCGGCCGCCTTTGTCTCTCCCGGTGCTGATGGGTGCACACCGCACAAGGTATTCATTATAAGTGAGTCGACGTAGGGGAGACACAGTTCGTCTTCTCATCTTCGACACCGCGAGCGGGAATCGAACTCGGGTCCCGGGGTTCGTAGCGCAATTCAGCACGATCCACTGCGCCACCGTTGCGTACACATTGCGTACAGAATACACACACCCCTACACAGTACACACACCTACAGTACACACAGTACACACAGTACACACCCACGCAGTGCACAGTACACACAGTACACACACCCACACAGTACACACAGTACACACACCCACACAGTACACACAGTACACACACCCACACAGTACACACAGTACACACACCCACACCGTACACACAGTACACACACCCACACCATACACACAGTACACAGTACACACACACATACACAGTACACACAGTAAACACACCTACACAGTACACACAGTACACCCACCCACACAGTACACACACCTACACAGTACACACAGTACACACACACCCACACAGTACACACACCCACACAATACACACAATACACACACAGTACACACACACAGTACACACACCCACACAGTACACACAGTACACACACCCACACAGTACACACACCCACACAATACACACAGTACACACAATACACACACACAGTACACACACCCACACAGTACACACAGTACACACACCCACACAGTACACACCTACACAGCACACACAGTACACACACTTACACACAGTACACACAGTACACACACCTACACACTACACACAGTACACACACCCACACAGTACACACAGTACACACACACCCACACAGTACACACACACCTACATAGTGCACACCTACACAGTACACAAAGTACACACACTTACATACAGTACACACACTTACACACAGTACACACAGTACACACACCTACACAGCACACACAGTACACATACTTACACACAGTACACACAGTACACACACCTACACGGGACATACACGTACAAGGGAGCCACTATGTTTTGGAAAAATAAGTTATAGGGTTTTATCGCAATTCTAATGCCATCGCTCTGTCCAGGGCAGTTTGTAAAATGATAATAAAAATAACTTTTCAAAACGTTCTCAATCAACTGCTGGACGAAGGCCTCCTCCGCGAATGTTGGTCCAAGGGGTTGTTTGACCATCGGTGAGCACGCGGATGTGTGTGGGTGTCGTGGGGGTTTGCGGGAAGAGGGGAGGACTGGCTCAAATCGAATTGTTCCACTGAAGTTTCACCGTGGGCGAAAAACTGGAAATGAACTTGGGTCGCCAATTTTGCATTGACTTAACGCAATGCGCTAACCACGACGCCACCGCTTCAACCCACACAGTTTATACTAATCATATAATGTGCTATTATAATACACGCATGGCCGTCATATAAGACAATTATATACTCAATATACACATTCAGCTAACTTCGGTTTAATTAAAATCTGCCATTCATTAAATATTGTAAGCGCCCATTATGCGCGTAGCTATATATATGCGTCTATCAACTATAACGTACACGGGCCATACCACGTGTTTGTACGAACATTCACCCTTTGTTACGTGAGCTCTCTAATATAACCTCATGTTGTATGCGCACGCCATTGTGACCGAGCGCCTGATTGATGGCCGCTATTTAAGCAGGTGAGAGCCCAATGAGCTTGATTACAGTATTTCTTTGGAGATAGAGGGAGTCCTGGAAAGTGTATAGGCTACAGTTACTGAGGCCCCAATTATCGTCTTCACAATTTAATTGCGGGCAATTTTCTAATCTGGAGTTTTTAAACCCACGGCGCACCATCGCGGAGCGAGCATTGGCCACCGCCACCGCTGCTGCTGCTGCTACTGCCGATGATGTCACGGGGAGTCAGGGGGGAGGGGGCACTTCAATCGACATCCACTTCACGGCACACGGAGGTGACCTTCGGTTCAATCCCCGTGTAATAAACGATCATCAACAACGTCATGGTGATCATCATCGCCATCGTTTAATAATCATCAGCACCTCGCGCTCCCGTGCAGTTTACACCTCGAGGCGCCAAGCCCCGGCACCGATGGGGGCGGACGCGTTTCGCTGTTTTTGTTTGCCATGTGAAAAACAAACTAGACCATGGAGGTGACATTGCTACAGTACGTGCGACTTAAACGCTCACCGACACGTGCACAAACCATGCCCGCGCATGTACACACACCGCAGATACACACGGGCACTCAAGTGAACCCTGATTTACGTATTCTACTGCACTCAGTGGCGTAGCGTGGTGGGGGGGGGGGGCATGCCCCTGGTGCAATGCAGGAGACGGGGCCCTCTCTGCAATCCCCCCACCCCCCCGCCGCCCCCAGCCCGTGGGCCCAGTTGCACCGCCTGCACACTCGAGAGCTTCGCCACCCTGGCTGCGACTTTGGTAAAGGGCCTCTTGCTGCCATGAGGTGGAAGGGCGGCTCAGGGCTTGCCTGTGGCCTAACACACACCACGTCGCACCCGTCTCGCCACGCGCCCCAGTCGTCAGCTGGCCCACCGGGCCGCGCTCGCTGCGCCGTAAGAGCGAGGCTGCATTTCAGCCGGGTCGACGACCCGTGACATATTTCCGCACCCAGCATACCACATCCAGTATATCTCTCGCTATGGGCTGTGGCTACTGGTCGACGTGCCACCTTCTCCAGTATATTAGTGGCCCGGATAATTGTTCTGTGACAATGTAAGCCCTGATAATGTGGAACCATTGGGGCTAAGGCCCCGGCCGGCTGCCTCGACTTTCCAATTGCCAGTCCCAACGTGGACGGTCGCTCTGCATGTGAATGAAGGACGCGATGGAGTTTGTTATTATTATTAATATTATTATTTGAATGTCACGGGTCATTTGTGCGCTTAATAGCTATGTTAATATATACACGGCCCTAATTGGAAGTTGTTTGGTTGCCATGATAACGTGTAAATATATCTCTGTATGTGCACGCTGCCGGGAAAAGTGACATCAGTGAGCGAGTGATATCAGAATCAGTCCTGGGGTAACCCCACGCATTCACCAACCCAGTTGGAGTGGTGGTGGTGGGGCATGTTCAGACGGCCGTCGCGACCGATACGACGTGCAGAGGCCTTCATCCAGCAGGGGATTGGCAAAGACAGCTGGACTATGTGGTGCTTTAGAGGAGTGTTGGTATAGATTAATGAAGAGACGCGATTTTACCTCTATACATAAATGTTAAACAAATTCAGACTAATCCGGTTAAATGATGCCTGCTGGACAAACATGTTCCGAGGCCGATAGGCCTACGTATGTGAATGATATTGTATTTGTACGTAGATAGACCGAGCCGTGTGTGTGTGTGTTTACATATTAATTATATCAGTTGTCGAGTTGAATTCCCGACCACGGCTAACATCAGTGGTCAGTGATATCGGAACAGGTCCTGCACGCCCCCACCCCTCCCCACCCACCCCACCCACGTCTTCAAAAACCCACAATCACCAGCAGGGTGAAGTATGGTTAAAACAAACCCCATTATCGACATGGCGAATTGAGAATGGCTAGAATTGAGAATGTGTATACATCTGATCATGACGAATACATCCTTTCACCGACCTCACTCATAATTTCAGTGCAGCTTTTGAATATCTATTCATTAATTCCGCGGTGAGACGATGTTTCGGTCGGTATATCCTATTGACCAGGGGTGGCCCACCTTTTCAGAACTCGTGAGTTCTGAAAAGAGTCAAGTGTATATACATGTGTGTATATATTGACAGTTTTCGGCACAGCATGGAAGACATTCATTATTATTTGCTACTGTGATCGTGTGTTCTACGTTAAGCCCCTTCGGTAGAGCCGCATGTGTTGGATTAAAGAGCCGCATGCGGCTCGGGAGACGCCGGCTCGCTACCACGAACGTTCAACTGAGGTTCGTGGTGCAAGTCAGTCTGAGAATGACTGCGGGGGCGAATTAATCTAACTAGATCGTCCTCGGCCAATTTACTCGTGCAGGAGACCGGCAGGCATCCGGCCTCAATCCTGTCATCCTCGCAGGAGCAGCCTTTGGCTGGCCATCGAACAAAGGCGGTCACCGCATCGCTCGCTTTCAGATGTGTTTCTGCCACCGTCTGGAACGCTCTTCCTTCCGATATTAGGAAGCCGCTGGAGTGAGGCACTTTTAAATCATCATCGTCTAGATTGACAAACTCATTTCTTTAGAACTGCTTTTTGTCTTTAGTTTGTTGTCCTTCCCCCGCACCTCCGATTAGCACGGTTGGCCACGTAGGGTGCGAAATAAGTTCAAGATACATACATACACAGAGACCCACAGAGACCCATAGAGACACTCCATAGACCAATAGAGACCCACATATACACACAGAGACACCCATAGAGAGCCAGAGAGACACACAGATTAGCACGGTTGGCTATGTACGGTCGAAATAAGTTCAACACACGTACACGTACATACAGAAGCAGCAGCAGCTTCTTGCTCCGTCCACCACCCAGAGCGTGGTCTCCGAAGCCCCGCGAAGCCTCGCGTCTCTCCTCCCCCTTCTCATCTGTCCACCTTAAAGCAGTCAACAGACTCGCGCAATCCACCGCCACGGTTCGTGACCTCTTCCCAGAACCCACACTCGGGTGTTGATGCCTGCGATTTAACAGGAATATCGCTGGGCATGTGAATCGGAGTCTAACGTAGAGGTATGCGACGTCTTAACTTTGCCTTGTCATCACACGGAGAGTCGCATTCGGATCTCATGCAGGGCAGGGAAACCCATTCGTATGAGAGAACGGTCCGCGGACGTGGAGAGCACAGAGCTACGTTCGAGGTCGCTTCAAATCGCCTCTCTGCCACACTTCGAGGGAGGCACGCAGCTCTGTCCCACCCGCTTGTCGCGTAGTCGTCAATCCGATATTATTACGTCTTAGAGCTGGAGTTTGACTCATTTAAGTCACTGACTTAAAGACATGTGAGGGGGGGGGGGGGGGGGGTAATATACAGCCGCCCTGCTTTAGAAGGCGGCTTAATGGC